AGATAAAGAGAAAAAAAATTGGTAGATGGTAATAATAAAAATATATATATATATATATATATATATATATATATATATATTATTCTGGTAGTGAGAATAAAGATCATACCAAGGCTGAGAAGAGTAGTCAACAGGTTTGGGTACCTAAAAAATAGAAAGGGATAAAAAAGAGGTAAGAAACAGGATTAAATAAAGAAAGCAGAGCACACATATGTGTTCTTTTGTTCTTAAAATTTCACTCAACCTGATTTCATACAGTATTTTTAACTCACAGCTCAAGTCTGGGACAATACAGCTCATATTAGTGCTAAAATCTGCCCCAGTTACTGTATCTTTTTACAACCACAACTTTCTAAATGCACTCATAAAGATAACCTAGCATACTTTTTCTTAAAAAGACTTGAACATAATTATGATTGTAAATCATCTTGCAAATAATAGCAGGGCATGTGGACAGAATGTGATAACACACTATTCACAAGATAAACCAGTGTTGCAGTAAACAAACACACAATCACCCACAATGCATCTGTCATTCAAAGACAGCCCTGAAGTCGTGCTTGCATACCTAAACCATTTAAAAACAACATGCACACAAGGACAAGTCTACCTTGCCTTGATCATATTTGTTTTGTTTGGCAGAGAATAGAGAATCATTTTAGCATTATAATATAATCGGGTATTTGTACTCACACATGGGTAAGGCTTCACTGCGTCGCTTGGAAAGAAGCCAACCTCTTTAGTTGCCAGGACTTTACCCTGAAACCATGGCAGATAATTACATTACGTTCAGCTGGGCAACTCCTCCTCAATAATTCAGTAACAATTAGTACTTAACACGACACGCAACAAATTTACAGCTGAGAGTTCATCAGAGCTGAAAAAGTCTTAGGAGAATACACGAGGAATACCAGGAGTACGAGGAAACAATATAATGCATCCAGCAGTCTGTTTGTAAAATATTTACGGAATGTTTTTTTTTTTAAATCATGTTTTTTATTTTTTTGTTTAAAAAAGAAAGAGATGAAGAGAATCCTAATTTGCATCCTAATTTGCATACTATCCATTCTAAATAGTATATAAATAGTAATGTTTTGCATGTTTTTTTTCTTTTGCTGAATAGTTTTCTCAAAAATGAAAATTTGCTGAAAATTTACTCACACTCAGGCCTATCTTCATTAGAACAGCATTTCATCACTTGCTCACCGATGGATCCTCTGCAGTGAATGGGTGCCGTCAGAATGAGAGTCCAAACAGCTGATAAAAACATCACAATAATCCACAAGTAATCCACATGACTCCAGTCCATAAAGTAACATCTTGCTTGCGGATTATTGTGTTGTTTTTATCAGCAGTTTAAACTCTCATTCTGACAGCACCCATTCGCTGCAGAGGATCCACTGATGAGCAAGTGATGTAATGCTAAATTTCTCCAAATCTGCTCTGATGAAGAAACAAATTCATCTACAACTTAAATGGCCTGAGGGTGAGTAAAATTTCAGCAAATTTTCATTTTTTACATAACTGAAATTTAAGGTAATTCATTTAGACCAGTGCTTCCCAAACCTGTCCTGGAGGACCCCCTGCCCTGCACATTTTGTATGTTTCCCTAATCAGGTTTGGGAAGCACTGATTTAGACAGTAGATGTTAACATGCAAATAGCATGCAACAAGGTCTGTAATATCAAAATTCAATTTAATAAAGTGATAGTACGTTGAAAATCAGATACACTCAATGCAATCTGCATGTTTATCTAATATCTAATTTTATATCTAATCTAGAAATAAAATGGTCTTCCAATACAGCTGTCGCTAATATAACAACAATTGATGGTTCTCCAGCCCAACGTGCCAGTAATACTCAGATATTTCTCCTCCTCCTCAGACGGTCTTCCAGGGAGATGTAGAAAGTGCATTTCTGTCTCATCTACCTTTTCCTTAAACAAATTTATCACAGCTCAAGTCTGGGACAATACAGCTCATATTAGTGCTAAAATCTGCCCCAGTTACTGTATCTTTTTACAACCACAACTTTCTAAATGCACTCATAAAGATAACCTAGCATACTTTTTCTTAAAAAGACTTGAACATAATTATGATTGTAAATCATCTTGCAAATAATAGCAGGGCATGTGGACAGAATGTGATAACACACTATTCACAAGATAAACCAGTGTTGCAGTAAACAAACACACAATCACCCACAATGCATCTGTCATTCAAAGACAGCCCTGAAGTCGTGCTTGCATACCTAAACCATTTAAAAACAACATGCACACAAGGACAAGTCTACCTTGCCTTGATCATATTTGTTTTGTTTGGCAGAGAATAGAGAATCATTTTAGCATTATAATATAATCGGGTATTTGTACTCACACATGGGTAAGGCTTCACTGCGTCGCTTGGAAAGAAGCCAACCTCTTTAGTTGCCAGGACTTTACCCTGAAACCATGGCAGATAATTACATTACGTTCAGCTGGGCAACTCCTCCTCAATAATTCAGTAACAATTAGTACTTAACACGACACGCAACAAATTTACAGCTGAGAGTTCATCAGAGCTGAAAAAGTCTTAGGAGAATACACGAGGAATACCAGGAGTACGAGGAAACAATATAATGCATCCAGCAGTCTGTTTGTAAAATATTTACGGAATGTTTTTTTTTTTAAATCATGTTTTTTATTTTTTTGTTTAAAAAAGAAAGAGATGAAGAGAATCCTAATTTGCATCCTAATTTGCATACTATCCATTCTAAATAGTATATAAATAGTAATGTTTTGCATGTTTTTTTTCTTTTGCTGAATAGTTTTCTCAAAAATGAAAATTTGCTGAAAATTTACTCACACTCAGGCCTATCTTCATTAGAACAGCATTTCATCACTTGCTCACCGATGGATCCTCTGCAGTGAATGGGTGCCGTCAGAATGAGAGTCCAAACAGCTGATAAAAACATCACAATAATCCACAAGTAATCCACATGACTCCAGTCCATAAAGTAACATCTTGCTTGCGGATTATTGTGTTGTTTTTATCAGCAGTTTAAACTCTCATTCTGACAGCACCCATTCGCTGCAGAGGATCCACTGATGAGCAAGTGATGTAATGCTAAATTTCTCCAAATCTGCTCTGATGAAGAAACAAATTCATCTACAACTTAAATGGCCTGAGGGTGAGTAAAATTTCAGCAAATTTTCATTTTTTACATAACTGAAATTTAAGGTAATTCATTTAGACCAGTGCTTCCCAAACCTGTCCTGGAGGACCCCCTGCCCTGCACATTTTGTATGTTTCCCTAATCAGGTTTGGGAAGCACTGATTTAGACAGTAGATGTTAACATGCAAATAGCATGCAACAAGGTCTGTAATATCAAAATTCAATTTAATAAAGTGATAGTACGTTGAAAATCAGATACACTCAATGCAATCTGCATGTTTATCTAATATCTAATTTTATATCTAATCTAGAAATAAAATGGTCTTCCAATACAGCTGTCGCTAATATAACAACAATTGATGGTTCTCCAGCCCAACGTGCCAGTAATACTCAGATATTTCTCCTCCTCCTCAGACGGTCTTCCAGGGAGATGTAGAAAGTGCATTTCTGTCTCATCTACCTTTTCCTTAAACAAATTTAATTTGTAAGTGGATCCTTAAGCATACCCTCCCACCTCCAGCCCCAATGCATTTAGTGCATTGACATTTTATCAGCACTCACGATGCCGCCCCGCTATTGGTTGTTGCTCAGATAAGGGCCTAATAATGATTAAACTCATAACCCTGTTAGATCAAACAGATGGCAACCAAAGGCCCAAATGAAATTACAGTGAGTGATTGCGTTTGTCTAGGCACCAGAGCGGCAATAATTGTCTCCGGGTTACCAGGGCTACGAGGGCTCTGATCGTCCTTTGCTCCGTCCGGAGCTGCCGCGGGACGCTGGATATTATGAGGTCTCAGGTGACACGGGCGGTGTAATTTTGTATGAGTTCAAATTGAATAAATCAACTTCCGGGTGCATGGGACAGCTGGGCGTTCGGAGCCTGCAGTGGACGGCGGTCTTAGAAATGAGGCAGAACGAGATTAACATGTTAAAACAGGGCTGTGGAGAAGCGTCCTGGACAGCTGGACTCGTATGATGGAGAGGGATGTAGGGGCATTCGAGTGTGTGCCAGGCTCTGCCAATTATCTGGCTCTCTGGACAATCATTGGCTGGTTTCCTCATAGCCTTGGCATGTAAATAACCAGAGCAAGAAGAGTGGGCATCAAGATGGACTACACTGGCTTTTGTGTCCCATCCCAGAAGACCATTTGATTGCTCAAAAGTTGCACTTTTCATAGTTCAAGAAACATAATCACTCAACTGTTTCAACTTTGTCTCAGGCGTGCCTCCTTAAGAGTATTAAATGTTGACTCATACAAATGAGACAAAGATGAAATTATTTGTAGAATTTGATTGGACGTGCTCAATTAATTTAGTTTGTTTTGGTTAGTTTTCCAGGCAGAGAAAGACTGTAAACTGTAAACTAAATGCATATATCTGCTAAAGGTTTAGGAGCACAATAGGACAAAAAGACACTTATATGTTGAGGTTTACAGGAAAATGATTAGCATTGTACTTATTCATTACTCTGAATCTATTTCTGTGATTTTCTTTAGTGTGGCTCATGCCAGAGAACTGCATGTGCACCAACACCTCCTATCAAATGACAATGTGACAAATAAAATCTGTCGTCAAGCGCGTGTCTGCTCTCTGGGTGTTGTGCTGGTCCGTGTTGTTTTTGTATGGCTATGAAACCTAACTCACAACAGCTTTCTTGTGTTGACAAAGGGTTGGATTAGTTAGCATTTCACAGCGAGTCACGCTTAGCAAAGCATAACAACACAGCCGCTCGGCCTTTGCCACAAACACGAGAGGCAATCAATTAGCAGCTGAACGCTTGCTAGCGTTATCCCTGTAGGGCTGTATGACTTGAAATGTTTATGAGGAGCGAGTTTAAGATGTAAAACTGTCTCACCTTCCACCAACAGCTACGGACGTTTGCCTCTATCACCTCGATGACATCACCAACCTGGATGTTGAGCGGTGGGCCACAGAGGGGGCTTGGAACCCCATAGTAATTACGGATGACCATCATCTTAGGGAGACCTAAAAATGTTTAAAAAAAAAGGTTAAAATAATGTGCATATGTTCAACTATATCACCAACAAGCATGCTGAACTTTGACAGAGTGTCATTACTGCATGTTTTGACACTCTGCCACATAAAGAACAGGTTTATGTACGTGATGCTGTGATCATAAATCACCACAGGTGACAGCAGAATCACAACAATCCATCATAAAAATGTCAGCAAGTTCATGTTTTGTCTCGAAAGTTCATGCAGTCATGCATGCAGCGCATTCACGCAGACAGTCTGCATGAACCTCCACAATCTAGCATTTAAATCACTGCTGGCCTTGTTTGCACCATTGCTTGATCATTTTAATGAATCAGATATTAAAAAACTAGCATATAAAATAAGTAAAATATAAAACAACAATATTTATGCATATAAATAAGTACTAAAATTACTCAAATAAAACAAAACAATGAAGCTAAATAGAAAAATATTAAACTAAGAAATGACAAAAGCACATAATATAATTACTCACATTTAAACTAAAATTAAATTAATTAAAATAAAATTTGAAAATAAGTTATACAAGTTATGTAAGAAATAAGTTCAAGCTGAAGTACTACAATTTCTGAAGTAAAACTGAAAGAAATATAAATTCAAGCTAAATAGAAATATTGAAAAAGCAAAAACTAATAAAAATGAAAAAGCACCACAAAATCACTTATAACTTGAACTAAATTTAAGATAAAAATATACACATAAAAGCACATTCGAAAAATTGATAAAAAGTCTGTAATATTAAAAGGCGGGTTGTTGCATCCTGCACAAAACCATAGCTGGCCTTGTTATGCCATTCCTTAATCATTTTAGCAAATCAAATACTAAACCAAAATCTAAAATAAACCATGCCTCCGCGGACACAATTCATTCTTAGCAAATTCCCCCCAGAGTGTTTAAAAAGACCAGCTGACCACAAACATCAGCTGTTCAGTCTGGCTATTACCCTAATTAGTACTAAGACCCTTTTTTATTCATTCAAGTAATTGGACGCACAGGTCTCGCACTGCGGGCAGAACTCTGTGGAGTGGACAGTTGTTCAGACGCTCCAGTGAGCTATGAATGAGTGTGCTTGTGTGAGCGGGGCTGCTTTGCTGAAGGGTCAATAGTGATGGTCTCAGCTGGTTGCTGCAGCTCTATATATTCTGCCGTTCTGATGATGAGAAGCGAGTGTAGACTCTCTTAACGCAACCAGCTGTGGCTGAAGCCTTCCAGCCCAGCAGATCACCCAGGCCCTGGGCCTTTGAGCACAGCTGGCTGTCTTTGAAGACGCTTTATAAACAGTGCGAGCGTGTGCTTCTCTGTAGGGAAGCGTCTTGCTGGCATGCTATGCTAAGAACCTTTGTGCACAAGGGCAAAGAGTCAGCACCAATAAACACTAAAATGCACTTTTGCATCAAAACAGCTCATGAAAAGGTCTCCTAAATGTGCTAAAAGAAAACAAAACAGCAGGTTTTGAAGTTTACAATAAAAAAGAGCTCACTATAACACACCTCTCCTCAAAAAACAACACTATTTCTGCTATCATTCATGCATAAAGATATAAAGCTATTGCACATGAAATAAAAAATAAAAAAAATCAGCTGAATGAACAAGCATTGTTTTGCAGTAAGGCTGTTTTTTGATGAAGACAAATCTGGCAGCGCTGAACAGACAGGATGGAACTACTTTAATTCAAAAGGAGAGATTCCCATGACAGCAAACACTACACAGAGGCCTTCTCTCACTATAACTTTAATGAATCTACCGACCCCAATATTGTGTGGGATCAGGAAGCCTCTCGCGGCTCCAGGTACACAGGGTGACTTAACAGAGACATAATGAACTCAGGAGTGGGCGTATCGTGATGGGAGGCGGCGAGAAACAACGACTTGCAATTTAGCTTGATTCACACATTTATTTCAAATATTCATGATGCTATTAATAACAAGGGCGAGGGAGGCATGAGCGTGACGCTCCATCGGCACACAGACGTGCCGTCACTGAACCTGTATCCCAGGTAAACCTCGTGGGTATCGATCAACCCATCAATGGCGCTGTGAAAACATAATTACAGATCATGTGGACCTCTTTACTGATGGGTGGAACGACTAGTGCTGAACACTATCAATGATGGAGATTTTGGAGCATTTAGTTGACTTTTTAAAAGGAATAATATGACATTTACTGTCTGCAAGACAAATTAATATATCATGTATATAGGTAGATACATACTGTATAAAATACCGAAAGAAAGAAAGAACATTTTTAAACTAATATAAAATTAATTAATATTAATATATAATAAATCAGCATATTAGAATGATTTCTGAAGGATCATGTGACACTGAATACTGGAGTAATGAAGCTGAAAATTAAGCTTTGATCACAAGAATCAATTAGATTTTAATGTATATTAAAATAGAAAAACTTTATTTTACATTGTAATAGAATTTCACAATATTAAATTTTTTTCTGTATTTTTGATAAAATAAATGCAGCCTTGATTAAACTTCTTTAAAAAAAAAAAACTTTACAAATCTTACTGATCCCAAATTTTTGAATGGCAGTCACGATAACTTTTTGTTGTGCGATATAATGCCCCAGAAATAATAGCGATAAGCGATATTATTGTCATTTTAAAGACCATTTTATGCCACTGAATATATAATCATAATGTAACAGCATAATAATGCAAGAAGGCCTACACACTTCCAAATTACAACAAACTTTTAATTTTTAAGAATATTTAGATCATGGAAATTAAGTATTAAGTTCTAACAAAAAGTGCAAAGTAACAAGTAGAAAAAAAGAAAAATGCACAAAGAATTTGTATGGAGATTTTTCCATCTACAGATTTTTCCCGAACCTTCTTTTCTCTGTAAATTAAGGGTGCACACTATTGCTGAAAAACACAATCCCTACTTAGCAGTCAGATGTCCGTATGCACAAAGGCACAGATCCCTAAACAAGACCATATCTGCAGATGAAACTTTGTTTGTAGAAGCATTTTTTAAATTTGAACTAGCACCTCATGACTACACCGCGTTATGTACGAGAAGCTGCAAAAGACACAGGTGCAAGTGGAATGCAAAAAAAACATGGTGACATTAATTTTTAAGTAAATATAATGGCCGATATGTTGCGTCACCATAAATTATCATGGTCATGTACATATATTGTGTGATAAGTCGATATATTGACTATTGCGACAGGCCTAAGTGTATATATATTACAATTTTCATTATTTTTAAAAAAGTTAGTAGTGCTTGTTTGTTCAGGAAAGGGTGAACAACCAACCAACAAACCAAGTAAATAACTAAATTAATTAATTAATCATATGAATAAAGGAAAATCTTTTTTTTAAATACTGGACATGAGAATTAAGGCCTAAACATGAGAAGTGAACTTTTTTGTTGAGATACGACAGTAGAGAGATGACAGGAAAGCACGGGGAGGAGAGAGGGGAGCGGGATCGGCAAAGGACCTCGAGATGGGAATCGAACTCGGGTCGCCGTGAGCACTGTTGCTAACCACGAGGCTACTGGCGCCGACAAGATGTGAACTTTTTAAAAACTGCCTGTGCTAATAGTTTAAACTGAGGGTCAGGAAAGCTTTCCACAGCTTAAGACACCCACATAATACGATTAGACTGTGTGAACATACACTGGAAGAAGTGGGTTAAGTAATTTGCACCGAGGGGGTGTGGGAATTATAGACTGGATTGTCTACTAAGGTCCTATCTTTGCAGGCAAAGCTAAACAATAGAGCTACAGGGGTTAAATATTTTCCCGCTCGTATCTGATTTATATCTGACACCAAGTCCTAGTTACGTGCATGAGCTTGCCTTCAAAGCAAACGACAACACTACGGCTCAAAGACTCCAGACTAAAAATATGCAATCTAGCTCAGATTGGAGAAGTATGTAATGTACAAGACTATGCATGTTTTGTAAGCATGAAACTCTACAGCCATAACAATGACGAACTTACATATTTCAAAATCATCCTTTTGTGATCCACTGACAAAAACAGCAGCAAGCTGGTTTGTAACAACATGAGTGAATAAATAATGACAGAATTGCCATGTTTGGGTGAGCTGTCCCTTTAAGAATGCAAAATGTGACTAATTGTGTATTCGTGATTTACCTGTGTCTCCTCCACGACCGGGTGTTTTTCCAATCTGTAATCAAAGCAAATAAATCACATGAGTCATACTGTTGCCAAACACAAACATTGTAATGCATTAATAATTTGATGATTAAGCAAAACATGGCACAAACACGCAATTAGTCTCATCATTAATTTTTGACAAGTAAGCACTGGAAGAATTTCCTCCATGCAATTTACTATCAGTGTTGAACTGCACTCCGGGCAAATTGCATGTCAATATCCTTATTACATGCTATATAAATTACAATGGGTTTGTTATTGCAAAATGATGACCGTGCAATTAATAAAACTGGTGTGCAATTAAATAAATGCACAATCCATAACGTATATATCACTCGAAACTGCAATGAACTCTGGGCTAGAAACAATCTCATAATGTTTCCCCATAACCAGGCAATCAAACTTTAATAAAGTAATATTTCTTCAGTAACAATTCCATGATGCCACAGCAACTTTAAAATGCATTATAAAAGAGAATTTTCTGTTTTAAATGGTAATCAATAGGAGTAAATGAGACCCTGAAGGGCAGAACTAGATTCACAGATTCACTGGAAAAGGAACAGAAACCTCACCTGAGATCCGAAAGAGCTGGAATCTGCAAGCATGTTGAAGACAGGCATGGTTAGAGTCAATCTACACTGTCAGACGAACACACTGTACAGACACTGTCATTAGAGCGTGTGGAAGACGTTGTGCTGTGAACTTTTATGATTTGTTTTGCTATGCTGCAGGTACCTGACAGCTGTTTGAGCTAAATTGACATGAGGGGCCGGACTAGATGGAGTTATGTACCAGGAGCCAGTCTCATTGGCTCCCGAGGGAGAGGACGGGCCTGTGCATACACTGCAAACTTTGTCCTGTTGCACTAGTGTACATAGACACAGGTGTGCACATATACACACAGAGTGGAACCTTGTGTACAAAGACAACAAAGAGGCTTGACTTGACAAACACACACCCTCTGCATGGAGCTTTTCACACTTGCTTCATTTTCATTCTCTGGAAATATCCAGTGAAAACATCCTTATTTGTATTTAAGTTGTATTATTTTATTGTGTTCTCAAGAATTCTACAGATTTATTATTGTTCAGTGAAAAAAATAAAATAAATATATATATATATATATATATATATATTTATTTTTTTTTTTTCTGATCTGAAATTAATATTTAACAATATTTTTATAAATGATGAAATATAAAAAAATGGCAGGGCTTTTTTCCCACTTTTTTTCCACAATAATTTAGTCTTAAAATATGTATTTATATTTTTCCATTTGGAAGTCTTAAATACATTAATATGTTCATAAATTTAATAAATTAATGGAATAGATTATATCATACTTGCATGGTGAAAAACTAAGATTTAATTAAACATGTAACCAATCATGAACAAAAAATAATAATAGAATACATTTTCCAAAATGATACATACGGTAAAGGCAAAAAAATTCTGACCTGTCTCTTTTATTTTGTGCCCTAAAAGCCTAATGTGGTACCGCAAAATCTCACAACATCCTTCCTGTGATGTGAGATAATGAGTCAGGGGTACCAGAATTTTGAGAGATTGTGAATCTACCAAATATATTTGACTTTCCATATCCCAGAAATCTTTTTCTTTATTTATTTTGCATATTTTTTGGGGGTGAAAGCTGTATAATTCTGCATAATGAATTTATTGAATGTATTAAACAAAACTAAACTCTTATTGCTAGATGAAATCACAATCAAATTAGCTAATGGGACATGGGATGTGCAGAACTGATGTGAGTTTAGTGAGAGCTCAGCTGTGCATAAAAACAGGAACGAGGAAATTCTACGGCAGCCCTGACTAATGCCTAGAACAATAAGAGCTGGCACTGTTGGCAGGTACGCACACACATGCATACATCATGGGTTCAAAAAGCCAACCAAGCCTGTTTGTCTGTCATCACACATCACGCTTATCTATGTGGCCTAGGTTGTTATTAGGAATCTCTGCATGTTGACAGCTTTTATTGCCCCGTCTGTTACACTACAGTGTAGGTCAATCATTAGTGTGCAGCGGGATAAGACATCACATAACGCTGAAACATGAGCCAGAGGCTCCAGCGCAGCTCTGCAAATAAACGCTTCATAATGTGTATGCACAGAAATTGCTAGAAAGATTTTGTTGTGTTGCATGTGGGGCTCACCGGCACTGCTGACACAAACATCCACCCTACCAAGACACTCCTTATGGGCGCCAGCACCACATTTGGAGCAGCGGTAGCCTTGATAGAAGACTCCTCTGAGAAAATGAATAAAAAATAGAATGATGATAGATAAAATGATATATGGATAGATACATGGAACAAGAGATAAATAGAATGATGGAACAATAGAAAGTATTACAGACAGACAGACAGACAGACAGATAGATAGATAGATAGATAGATAGATAGATAGATAGATAGATAGATAGATAGATAGATATAGATAGACAGACAGACATTTACCATAGATAGATAGACCATAGATGCATCCATCATCTGCCAGTTTATTAATTCTGAAATCACTGAAGGGATGATACATACACTTGATTTACCTCTTTCCCACTCTCACTTTCTCTAGGTGCATTATCGATCTCATTAAGGTGTATTGTGGGTAGACTGTGTCATTGCATAAAGCCTCTACGGTGAGCTCACCTCAGCAGCATTTTACACGAGCTGCAGGATGTGGTTGTCTCAAAGGTGTGCATGCGGAACTCATGGAAATTACTTTTCCCGCTCTCTGGACAGATGTTCGATCTGTTGAGAAAGAAAGAGAGAGAGGAAGTGGGTGTTAAAAACAAGTCTGAAGACCTTTTTGCATAACCGTAAGAACTGCTCGTTTCCATCTGTCGTCTGCTCCCACCAACCAACCAGCTGTGATTTTCTCTTGAGACACATAAGGATAACTAGGGTAACTAATTTGCATTTTCTGGAAAAAATGTAAAACACAATACCACAAACTAGGATGCTACTTATGAATTCCTGAATGTACAGCACATACTATAAACATTTCAATTGTATATTCTAAATAATGATTTGTAGTTTGTAGTTTATGTAGTAATGTAGTTCTTGATCTTAAAATAAAATGATTTATAAATTGTCTATTTTAAATAGACTCAAGGATCATGTGACACTGAAGACTGGAGTAATACCTGCTGAGAAACATCATAGAAATAAATTATATTTTAAAATAATTCAAAATAGAAAGCAATAGTGATGCTGCTTTAGTGTGCACTACTAATTATAGCATGAGCAGAAGTCATGATGTTGTCTATAGCACTATTATTTTTTATAGTCCAAGACCCTCCACACCCTTTCTGTCTTTCTCTCGATTCATCTCGAATAACCCTTGAGTGGTGAGTGCCCTCATAATAAAGGCATTAACAAATGACAGGCAGATAACAGAGCTGTGTGTGCGTGCTGATGTCATGTCATTAACACTCAGAGTGTGCAACAGCACTGATATCCAATCAGCTTTCAGCTGCAGACTGATCTGATGACACATGACAGAGAGAAAGAGAGCACTGACTCACCACTGTTCTCCAGAATTAATGAGCCCTTCAGATAAATCTGTTAAAAACGTGTTATCTAATTAATCAGAGCCCTGTCTCCTGTCTTTGGTGCATTACACTTTTTTTTCTCCCGACTTATTCTGAGCATTTTTTTTTTTTTTTTTGTGGATGTGCCCTTTTTGGATATGCATGACATCTAAAATTTGGTAGATTACTTGTCTGATGGTTTATTGCGTTTTTCATCTGCATTTTACAGTTTGTTGCTGTCATCAGCCAGGAATTATAAATATATTTTCTCACTCTTTCTCTCATAGGTACGCTGTGGGATCCCTTATTGCCTTAGTATTTCATAATACAAAGATTTACTTGAATCTGACTCTCCTAAGAATAGTAAATGGAATAAAATTAAAGTGAGGGAAGATAAAAAAGCCTCTGGATGTGTATAAATTAAAAGAGAAATATCATAGATTTTTTTTACACTTTTTTGATGTATCATGTAGAAATAATATAGTGTAATGTGCAATATCAGAAACTACCCATGTTTAAATATCAAAACATATTCATTATTTTTAGTTAACGTAGAAGTCTCAAAAGTATAGTACTTCAACAAAAACAGCTTGTTTAAAACTCTCATGTTGTTCCAAACCCATACAAATTTAGTCACTCTTTCACACAATTACAACTAATTAAGCTTAAAAAAGAATGAAAGCACCATAAAATTAACATAAAAGTGGTCCATATGCTATATTCCAAGTCGTCTGAAGTCATATGATAGCTTTAAAGGTGGGGTAAGCGATTTCTGGTAGCCAATGTGGACATTTGAAATCACCAAAACAAACACGCCCTACCCCAAAAGGGTCTCGCCCCTATTTTGATAGCTCCGCCCCACACATACGTACGCAACCCAGGCAACGATTAGTTCTGTGAAACAAAGCAAAACCAATGTTACACCGTGTCTACACCGGACGTGAGCGGTGCGGCGCGACAAAATACTATGGAACTCATTATAATCAGTGATGCCGTCTACACCATAGATATATATACATATCTATGGTCTACACTGACTGCGGCGCGGCACGACACGACAAATCGCCGACAGAAAACTGCTGCTGCGTTCTATTTATGACGTAGACACAAATTTCAAATGATTTTCAATGGTCGCTTTGACAGACAGACTTTAGCTGTTGCGGCGCAGACACGGTGTTACTCACCTATCGAGAAAAAACAAAGCAGCCTCAGCGTCCGATCACAGGCCTTCCGCTCCTTGAGTTCTCTACACGGGTCCTACTTCTTGCCTTTAGCCTTCTTTTGTTCCGCAGACGTTTTCCTATTTTGTTTTTTATCCGCCACCTCTCTCTTTCTGTCGCTCAGCTTGGCTAATGTCGGTCCTGTGCACTGAACGCTCTCTCCTCCACATCATGAGTAGACACGCCCCTTACTGCTGATTGGCTACAAGTTAGTTTTTCTATTCGGCCTGAACCAGTTTTCTAAAGCGTTTTTGAAAAATCGCTTACCCCACCTTTAAGTGAGGAACAAGCAAACATCTAAAACGATTTTCAATACATACACTGACTCTCCTGATCTATGTCCAATTTGTAACCAAACCTTTATTTTGAGTCCATTCTTTTTTAATGACTATAATGACTTTTTTAATGACTCGATACAGTTTACAAACTGAATGATTCGTTCCGAAAGTTAAACGTAACGACGCAATGATCCAGTCCCAGTGATTCTTGAGTTCTTATGGCAAAGATTATCAATGAATAACAACTTTTTTTGATTGAAATTGGCATCTGTTTGTCACACAAAGCAATCATATAGTTTTATAAGACTTGAAATATAGTGCATGAGTCGTATGGGCCACTTTTATTATTATACTTTTCCAGTGCAATATTTTCTGTCCCTATTCATTTTAACTCCAAGAGGAAACAGTCATTCTTTATTTGTGTTTCACTGAAGGAAGAAAGTCATGCAGGTTTGGAACGACATGCGGGCCAGTAAATACCTGAATTTAGTGAGCTATTCCTGTAAAGATCAGAGAGAGGGTGAAAAATGATCATATAACACTAAATTACGACAGGATTTGGTGCAAGAAACATAATAAGTTGGCTTGAGGGATAAAAAAATATCTGCTGGAAAAGCACAGAGTATATCCTCTTTAAAACAACCAAACTAACTAAAAGAAAAAGACTTGGTATATACTAGTCTATCTGCAAAACTGAACCAACCACTCTGATGGAATGTATGAAAACACTTTGGGTCACATTATGTTTTATAAGGTACACCACTGCAAAAATGCTTGGCTCAGCAAGTCTGTCCTCATTACTGTGTTTGTTCTGTAGTAAAAATAAACACTAATGGTATTTAGGCTTGAATCAGGGCCAGGACATACTGTCGTAGCTAAATCACGCTTTTGTGTCTGTTGTCAAGACAGATAACAAACCTGAAAAACAGGACAGTACAGACCTGTGCAGACCTTCAGAGACAACAAAACACTCACAATGCCATGCCAAACTGCTCCAGCCATTTCTTCTTCACCTCCTTGGTTTTAAAAAAGAACTCGAAGCCGTTCTGACCCTGATTGTGTGTGAGGTAGAATCCGTGGCACCACTGGAAGAAAGAGAGAAAGCAAGAACATCCATGTTATAAATGCAAAACACATACACATGCACAGATAAAGCAAAGACAAACACCGTCTTAAAGCCGTTTGATTCGAAACATCAAAGACACTCTAACAAGTCTGAGACTACAAAGCCCTAGACCACATGATGGTGCGAGGGGGTCACTGTTTTTTATGCAAGACTGACGAAATGCTATTATCAAATCTAGCCCGGTCATCCTGTTATCGTCTGTTAGCACTGTGTTGACGTTTACATCATATTGCAACTGATGTAGATATTGACTGCACTGAACAAATGGATCAGATTTCATCATTTGCAAGATATGACAGTGTGGACAGTCAGATTCGAAAAACAAACATCTTTTTTTTGTGCAATGTGAACAAAGGCATAGAGAATGCAAGACAATAAGCAGTTATGCATCTGGACTCCAAGCCTGTCTGTCTGAAATTATTAAATTAATGAACAGTAAGGGATCTGTTTGGAAAATGTTGATTTTAAAAGCCTCTTGGGCCTGGCATTTACATGCTTTTTGTATGTGAATATTATGTACACTTCCATTCAAATGTCTAGGCTCCCTTTTTCATATTTTTGAAAGAAATTTCATTTATTGACATTTAAAAGAACTGTTTTCTATTTTAATATATTTTCAAATGTAATTTATTCTTGTGATGGCAAAGCTGAATTTTTAGCATCATTAGTGTCACAAGATCCTTCAGAAATCATTCTAATATGCCGCTTTGCTGCTCAAGAAACATTTCTTATTATACATGTCAAAAACAGTTTTGCTGCTTAATATTTTTTAAGATTCTTTGATGAATAGACCTCTCAAAAGAGGATCATTTGAAAAAAAAACTTTTCCTGTCACATCTGCTGAATTTAATGCATCCTTGCTGACTGTATTAACGACTTGCAATAAATAAATAAAAGAAAAATTAAGAGAAATATTCCAACCTAAAAAATAATAATAAATAAATTGCTAAGTAGATTGTGTGAGCGGACCACAAGAGCGCAGTATCTGTTTAGATTTTTTTATATATAATAAAAAAAGCCTATGGAAGCCAGTTTCCAGCAATGAATAAAAAATAAAAATAGGTAATGGTGAGTTTTTATCTCACAATTCAGACTTTTTTCTCAGAATTGCATGACATAAACTCACAACTGCGAGTTATTAAGTCAGAATCGCAGGATATACAGTAAACACGCAATTGCGAGAAATAAAGTCAGAATTGCGAGATAAAAACTTTTTTTCTCGCAATTGAGAGTTTATATCTTGCAATTCAGACTTTTTTCCTCACAATTCTGACTTTATAACAATTGCTCATTATAATGTCGGAATTCCCAGATATAAACTCACAATTCTGAGAAAAACAGTCACAACTGTGAGATATACATTTACAATTCTGAGAAAAAATTTGTTCATATCTTGCAATTCTGAATTTATTTCTCAGAATTGTGAGTTTATACCTCGCAATTCAGATTTTTTTTTTCAGATTTTTTTTTATGGCATTAATTTAAATCATGCCATACTGACTTTATAACTTGCAATTGCGAATTTAGTTTATATCTTGCAAATCTGACTTAATTTTACCGAATTGCAAGTTTACAAATCCAAATTTGGAGTTTATATCACACAATTCTGAGAAAAAAAAAGTTAGAATTGCAAGATGTAAACTCGCAATTGCAAGAAAAAAAATATTTTTTGAATTGTGAAATAAAAAGTCGCAATTAACTTTTACCTGCAATTTTTTTTTCACTCATTATTATTATTATTAGCCAGAACTCTGATGAACAAAAACACCTTCCCTCAACAAATTTTGAGGCATCATCATTCACTAAAGTACTATAATAATAATAGTGATGTTTACATTGCATGTGTTTACCAGCATCATTTCTCTTCCTTGCACACACTCTCTCTGTCTTGAACATGTAATATTTACAGCGTTATCTAACAAGTAATCATCCTGGCACAGCAGCACGTAATGTAATATAACAAACGACATCATGTTTTCTAATTTAGCTGTGTCTGGTGTTGCTGCGTTCGTTAGCAGTCGCTAGACGGTTTTTAATAGGAAACACCATCTGTGCGAATGAAAGCTTCTCTACTGCAGTAACTGCTTATGGCACAACAGCATAACAGCACATTTGCTGCCCTCGGCTTCGATGCAGTGAACTTTGGCGGCAATTAGGAGACCGGCTGCGCACCTTTCGGTTTTCTCTTTCTGAGGTCGGGTTGTTGGTGATCTTGAAGGAGTGGAGGTCAATCACCTCCTTCATCTCGTAGTTATCTCCTCGTCGTTTGCATACGATCACGGCAGCGTCGAACAGAAAGATGTGCCTGTAGCAGAAGAATGGCATAGATCAAAATAGAAGGAGAAAATACAAGAGGAGCGCTTGAGGGTGACACCTTCATAACCCTTAGGCCTTAGTAAAGACCTGCGGAGTTTCAGGCTGAGCAGTATTCCACACTTTAATCATCTCACCTGTCTTGTTTGGCTCGTTTGTCGACTGAAGTTACTCGCACTTCGCTGTCACCTTTCGGTCTCCCGTAGTTACGGAGAGACTGATTCTGCAGAACATAAGGATGGTGCACATTCAATGCAGACATGCTTGTATGCTACTAGCGGTCAATTAAGTTAGACTAAAGTTCCACAAAACTGTTCAAAGCTTCATACTGTCTCTGCTTAACTACTTCGAGCAGTGTTGGGGAAAAAACTAAAAGTAGGCATGCAAATCAGTGCATTTTGCAGTAGTCTGACACTATCTTGGGTGTTTTTAAAATAGTTCAGCTTTTCCAGAAGCATCCAGTACAGTGGCATGTTTTTTTCAGCAAGTGTAGCATAAAAAAGAACACAGTCTTTTAACAAAACGAGCAGAAGAAATAATAAAATACACTTTCCTAAAAACATCTCACTCAAGTTGCACTGCGAAGTGTGATTCATTTTAGTAAACTGAATGATTAATGATTCACTAATTCATTTTAATGATCTTAATGTTTTGTTTGCAGTGAAATACTAAAATATTTTAACAAATTCCTTTTTTGTATTGTTTTATTAGATGTTTAAAAAATGTTTTATTGTATATAGCACAATTTATAGTTTCTATATATAGTTTTTAACATTTATTTTCAATTTATATTTTTATATGTAAATTTATTTTTATATATAAATATAAAAGTTTATATAATGTATAATGTTGTATAATGTATATAACAATATATATATATATATATCATTTTTATAATGTATTTATTAACAATGAATCATTTATAATTAATAATAAAATATCTAAAATATCATTATTACAAATTATATTTAATTAATACTTTTATATGAAAATAATAAATCACATAAGATATACAGTGTATAAATAAACATCAATAAACTGTAAATAAATACATTTTAAACAATTTATGTGTAATATTAAATAATTTGAACAATGTCACAGTGTGAAACCGGTTTTTT